TTGGCAATGTGTCATGTCCACGGTTCAACTTTGGAAATGATCATGCAGACAATGGACTCCTCTAAGTCTTCTTACCAATATGACCAAGTTGCGAAAACAAAGTCAAACAACCTCTATACGATGAAAGGAGTCTGCGACCACACAAAAGGTCTTCATACCATAGCCAATAAAGTTGGCCAACTGAGATCCCACTTAGTTTTTATACCTCACTTTGCGATCTTAATTAGGCATTCCATGAAGTGGCTGGCTTGTAAGCGGGTCAAAGTGATGCAGGAAGTGGAGCGAATGTGGTCACGAATTTTGAGTATTTAAATAAACTATCCTATGATCAGGTAGTCCTGGGTCTTAGTACAGCTTCGTGGGTGCGTGTTTGTGTGTGTATGCAACAACCACGAATAGGTTGACAATTTTAGGCTCAAATATTGGCTCCAGTTTAGTCTAGTCTTCTCTTACTCAGTGATTCCTCCTGTTCCCTTTCTTGATCTCCATCTCTCTCTCTCTCTTTCTCTCTCTCATTCCAGAGAGAGTTCTTACTTAGTTTCCTACATTCGTTCCTCTAATTCAGGATGTTCCTTGTTTTACTAGTTTCAATTGACTCTCTGGTCTTCCGTTCCGGCAAAACGTTGGGATTTATACCACTATCTGGTGTCCTGTAGCGACCACATGTTCAGCCAGTTGCGATTTCTGAATTTATAAGCCTTTGCAGGCGGTTCTGTGTTCCGATAGCCTCTTGTGTACGGGTCGACAAGTCACTCCACATGTTAACTACAACATGAGTGCAAAACCTTATAACAACCGGATCTGCAGAGGGCGCCAGAAGATTCTCTAAAAGAAGGCATGATCGAAAATGATTGCTATCAGCACACCAGCAGGTCGCTGTGATCACTACCACACACACATACACACACACACACACACAACAATGCTAAATGTCATAAGTGCAGGCTCCGGACATGAGCTCCTTTTGTAATTCGACTTTTCAACTTGCCTCAACGAAAGCAGAGTAGAAAGTGTCGAATTGCAATTTATCTTTTCCTTCTAGTTGGCCACTTCTCTCAATCGGGCATTATGCCTCGCCATGAGGTTCACGACTCGGTATAGGGTCCTGCTGGAGGAGCCAACGCAACTATGAGACAAGGCCGAAACCGCAGTCCAGCCCAAGTCGTGGGAAAAAGCCGACTGTCAGTCTTTAGAGTCGCTTCAAGCCGATGACCTTGTGGAACCGACGTAGTTTTGCCTCTTCTATCGCAGTATTCATAACATTGTCCAGCGTCAGAACTGTGACATGGTACATTCCCGTTGCCCGAGTCAGCAAATTACTATGAATACTGTCAGAGGACACAGAACTCGGCGTGTTCCACAAGGTCTAGATGAGGCTTCAGCCAAGTTGCGAAGACTCACACGATGCAGCTAAAGGAGACTGCGACCAAACCTAAGTTATTATTAACAAATTACTCATAGCCTCGAAAGCTACTCATATGGAAATAAGTATTATTAAAGCAGACTTTCCTTGAGTAGTTACCGCATTGGACTGAATGCCAGTCTGGCCGCCCGGATTCGAGCCTTGAACCCCCACCACGGGGCATGACATTCGGGGCAAGGCAAGCCAGGCCTGTCTCTCTCAATTTGCTTGTTTGTTTAGTTTGTTTTGTTTGTTTTTGTATGTTAGTATCCACACTATAAGGAGGCCGATTACGCCGAGGCAAGTGGCCTCGGTAGGCTTGGCACGAGGAGCTGGGCCAGTGGGGCTGACTTGTGCGTCGAAAGGTGGCTGGCCGGTGTTGGCGAGGCTTGTGAGAGAATGATGAAGAAGAAAAAGCAACTGGCTCAAAAGGGAGCAGACCCACTCCGGGCGCAAAATGGGCGACGGAGCGGGACGAGACCGAGAGGCAAGGGGCGGTGGTTGAGCCGGCGATAAGAGGCGAACGACTCGCCAAATGGGCTGACTCACTCAAGACCCGCCGAATAGACGGCGTTACACGCCTCCAGCACGCCGGTAGGTCGTGGTGACCTCTATCACACAAACACACACATACACACACACGCTCAAAATCTCGCATTGAGGCATAATGGAAGCAGACACGTTTGTGGGACAAAGGTAAGATGAGGCAAGCAGCTGACTGAGGCCAACCGAGCAGAGCTCAAGGCGTGAGGCCGTCTGCTCGACGGCCCTGCCTCAAGCCGTCCGGGCTGGGCTGAACTCGAGTCAGCCAACCAGCCAGCCAATCAGCGAACCAGCCAGCCAGCCAGCCAGCCAGCCCAACCCGGATGCAGGTTGCGGATAGAACCGATGTGGGACTGGCGCACATTTTTTGCCGCCGCCGTGACGACCCCGGAGATGAGTCAAGCCTTCAGGTGCTCAGACGTGAGTCTGCCTTACTGAAACCGGAATACTCTCACATTGCCTCACATGCAAGGCTCAAGTAACAATGTGGAGTCAGGCGAGTGTGGGCAGACTATGGCTAGATAGATGGATGGATAGGCATGCTCTACTTTATTCACTAATATTGATATATAGTCCGACAGACTAATGAGGATAAAGCAGGAATGATTGATTTGTTCCCTGTCTGATGGGCGCACAGACAGACAGACACAGCAACACGCGCGTCCCGAGGCTCAGACCAGCTACAGGCCGTGGGGTCAAAGGGAACGGGTGGCCAAGGTGGGGCGCGCCACTGAGCCGGCGCACGCAGAGACATGCCAGTCCGACGGTCTGGCGCACCAGCATCGCCCACGCCTCTTTGCGGTGTCCTTCCAAAATGACCAACCTGCTGCCAGTCTCTAACCGACTTTGTCTTTCTTTTTTCTCTCTCTTTCCCTTTTCCCTTCGCTTTTTACTCCACTTTTCATCCATCCATCCATTCATCTATTCATCCGTCTCTCATAGTCCGCCCATCCATCGCCAATTTATCCACTCCTTTGGTCACCGCCTGTATCCACTTCGCCTTCGTGACCCATTACCACGCGAGGAGTGGGGCTATTTTCCACCGTAATCAGCCTGGACAATCGCCC